CACACAGCATAGTCCTTTTGGCAAAATGGGAAATGCAACTTCCAGAACAGTCACAGGGACTATTTCTATCATGCTCATCCAAGGTGCTTTTAGGGCTCTTGCTGTGGAACAGCCGTTGAACATTGAGCCAATGTTGCAATTTTCTTTTTTAAAACCTGTTTTCACATTCTCTCTCTCTCTCTCTCTCTCTCTCTCTCTCTCTCTCTCTCTCTCCCTCCCTCCCTCCCTCCCTCCCTCCCTCCCTCCCTCCCTCTCTCTCTCTCTCTCTCTCTCTCTCTCTCCCTCTCTCTCTCTCTCTCTGTGTGTGTGTGTGTGCTGCACAACATGGAATTCCTTACCCTAGGTTAGGCAACGCAGAGTCCGCTTTATCTGGAGATTGGAATTAAGTCAAGAACTGTGTTTCCTTTGTTCAGCATGTTACTTTGGAAGTTTAGACAGCTGTCCTTGACCTATCAGCATTTAACGAAAGGTTTTGATTGTTCAATAGATTTCGTTTTACACTTATTTAGTGTATGCATGTGTGTTTACATAGGTGAATATGTGTAGGTATATGTTGAAATCAGAAAAAAAACTTGCAGGAGAAGATTTTTTCTTCTACCATGTTGTTTCTATAGATCAAAGACAAGTCTTTAGGTTGGACAAAAAGCATCTTTACTCACTTTGATGGTAGTTTTTGTTTTATCAACTTGACACAATATATAATTACCATGGAAGGAAATATTAAGGGGAATTGTTTAGATTGAGTTGGCCTGTTGGCATGTCTATGAGGGATGATGTATAAACTGAAGACAATTCACAGTGATCAGTACCACTCTCTGGCAATACTGAATTATATGTGGGGAGAAAACGAGCTAATCACTAATCCATTCTCTTTGTTCTTGACTGTGGATGACTGTGATCAGTTCCTTCAAGGTGGATGATACCAAATCTTCTGATCATGATGGACTGTAGCATGGAAGTGTGAACTGAATAAACCTTTCTCCTGTCAATTGATTTTGTCATGGTATTTTTATCACAGCAATATGAAAGGAAACTAAGACACCTGTTGAGGCATCCTACTGTCCCTCCTCAGGAGGATTTGATATGGTTTCAGACATCTGCACCTTGCATTTCAGTTAGGTGGGGGATAAATTCGCATCTCCACCTCCTGATGAGTGTTGTTATTAGCAGTGCCTTGTATTTTCAGTATTTGTCCCAGATAAAAATGGTAATATGTAAAGAAAGGAATACAGTGAATATTTTGAATTTTCTGTGTTATAACATTAGTGTCTTTTAATAAATACATCATGTCATATACTAAAAATAAATAATTTAAGTAAAAGTAGATAGAGGCTTGAATTTGACAAGTTGTCCAATATATGTGACCTGACAAAATGTCTTCCTAACACTTATTTGTTCCTAAAGCCTCTGAAATCAGACAAGTCTATGGAAAGAGTTGCTGCCGTCTGCTAAATATTAATCCATGTTTAAGATTATTTAGTTTAATACTTGGCAAATTTTCAAACACAAGTTTGTTAGCACCTGCTATATATAAAAATAACCAAATCACCCTCATCTTACACAATTTTTTTCTGGTAACTAAGAAGGAAAAATTAATAGTCCTTGTTTGGCTCCTTAGTGACTAGAAACAGTTGTTTTCCTTTATACCCCCCTCAACCAATTCATTTTTGGCCTTGCATCAGTAAATAAAGGGAAACCAGTAAGTAAGTGGTGCTAGAGGGTACTCGAAAGTGCTCGAGGGTGCTTGACAACAATTTACTCTTTTAAGTGGATTAAATAATTCATCCCCAAAGATCTCATTTCCTCATGACATTGCAGAAAAGAAGCTATCTCTTTAGAGGGAAGATATTTGTAAATTGGATAAATGAAGGCTGAGAGTCAGGCTACCTGAGCTCAATTGCTGTTATACTTCATTGTACCCCATATGATTTGGGAAATTTGATTCACCCTTCTATGTATGTCTTTTACAGTGTGCCCACTGTGTTGCCAGTTTATAAGCTCAGCTCCTCCTTGCAGCATCTCCTGAATATGAGTACTGGGTAAAAGTCAAACACTCTCACACAATGATAAGGGTATGAATATTCTAAAACAAGTTGGTTGAAGTGTTAAAAATATGTAAATTGTACATTTCCATGTATGCTTCAGGGGAAATCAGATGGCTTTGACTTTAGCCATGCGCCTCTTAGTTCATCCTAAGATCTGAGCAGTTCTTGGTACTCAGCGGTTTGAGGGAATGAATAAGTGAACTATTAATTGACTAATTCTCACTCTGTTCCTCTTGATGTTTTCCTGCAGGCCTGAACATCTTCAGGCAGGCTTTTTACCATGCGAAATAATCAACACAATCTTCTGAGAAATAGTGTGGTTTATGTTCTGTGTATGACTGAAATAACAAAATTAATTGCTTTTCTGCCATGCGCTTTTCATGGCTTTTCATTGATCCTTCTGTGTGAACCAATGCCTGTCAGTGTCTTAGAAATGATAAATCATGATCCCAGGGTTTAGCATTTTTAATAAGCAGAGTATGTGGTAGTGGTCATGAGGGTTTGTGCAGGAACTATAGATTTTTAAATAAAAGTTGATTTCTTATTCGTATATTCAGCCTTGTCAATTTCCATGAAAAGGCCATCATAAAAATAGTAAACAATGTACCTTCAACACCCAAAAGCATAGATAGGACCTTGCTGGAAAGTCTAATAATTTTTATATTAACCAAGGGATTTCTTTAAACCAAGGTTCTTATTTTTCAGTGTTTGAATCATTTTTAGTTGTGTTGTCTATGATGCTGGCAAGGAACTTGTGATTGTAAAGTATATAGATTGACTGTCAATGTGTTACCACACTGCTTATTTCCTAGCTCAGTCTACAGATTCACAAAATCTGGTTGCCTATATCCCTTGTCACACACATGTGTAGATCAACATATAATGTGAGAGAATGGAGGCTGGTCACCAGTTAAGCACTGGGCAACCAAAACAGCCTTGGAGGTCAGTGTTGATTCATGTACGCTTTATCAGAAAACTCTTTTTCAACCCAATTTAGGCTAGGATCCTTCTCACTTCAGGTTTATGCCTGTGAATACCTGTGAGTCTCTACTTCCCAATATCTAAACATTGCTATCTCTTGATTTTCTTTTGTTCCTGTCCTTATGTAAATGAAGAATTATGTCATTTCTTAATCACCTTACTGGTGTTTTAATTACATTCATGATAGCTAATCTCATTCAAACCTTACTTTTAAATTCTGTATATCCAGTATCTTGTCCATCTTTCCAGAAGTCAGGGAATTCTTGTCGGCAAAAGATCTTGAGCATGGATTTGTTCTTTGGTCATAAATCTCATTCTTTTACATAGCAACTTTCATCCTACCTAGGAGCAATATCTCTGCCTCTCGACACTCCTGTCATTTTGGATTTTCCTTCTGGCACTTACAAAGAGGAATGGCCAGAGATTTTACTTGGTGGTTTCCCACCGATGATGATTGAATTCATTGAGAACAAGAAACTGTCTTTTCACCAAAAAGTACAGAGAATGAAGAAAGTACATATCAACATAGTGCAATCAGTGAAAAATTGCTGTGAGCAGAAAGGGATAAATCTGTGTTCTAGAAACACTGTTGCCATCTTTCTTCATAAAAGTAGACATTTTGTAATTTACATAAATTTTCATCACTTCAAGTGAACTGTAGGCATGTTGAACTGATTCAGAAGGAGGAAGTTGCTTGTAGCTGAGGGGGGAGAATGTGGGAGATTAAAATACATAGCTCTGACTAGTGTGATGGAGGAGCCCTAAGAACATTGGTTGTGATGGTGGTGGTAGTGTTGGTGGAGGTAAACTTCATGAATTTAATTAGGACCAATGAATTAAGTATGTGAAATAAGTAAAATGCCAAGATGTTCTCTCTCTCTCTCTCTCTCTCTCTCTCTCTCTCTCTCTCTCTCTCTGTGTGTGTGTGTGTGTGTGTGTGTGTGTCTGTGTGTGTGTCTGTGTGTGTGTGTGTGTACGTGCATTAATAGTAACTTGTAGTTTTGCATACATTTTCTAAAAGGAAATGCTCTCTCTTTTTGGCTAAACAGGGGACCCCTAAAAGGAGGTCAATAATTTATTTGGAAACAAATACAATTTCAGCAATCACCTTTTGGCCCCACTTCCTCTCACTCCAGACAAATACTTGTGCAAATAAAAACATCATTAGGTAATGTTAAATTTACAAGGTGAGCAAAGACAGGATTAAACAACTGAAAGAAGGAAGACTCTAAATAAGCCAAGCACAGTTTGGGACTCTGTTGAACATAGGCAGACCAGTTGTTCAAGACTGTCTGTGTCTGTGGGCACATAGGATAAATGATGACACCTTTGTCATTTGTTTTTCCTCAGTTGAGCTGTTAAGTCAAGCAATCACAGGGCTTATGGGTCAGGTATGCTGGATTTGTGTCTTCAATCTACCCAAGACTTTGTGACCTACGTATGACTCTGTTTTCCCACTGCACAATTGCCTCATATAAGTTGTCCAAGGAAGAACCACCAATTTCTGTGTGTGAAACTGAAGCACACCCCATTATAGGCTTTCATAACCTGGTTGAGGTTTTGCCATTCTTACTAATATAAAGGTGTAAATAAATTTATGTCAAACAAAGCCCTAATCTACAAAGAATCTACAAAGAATATCATGGTTTTTAAAAATTACCTTACTAGAAAATCTTTGATCATTCTCTTTCTTAAATTTTATTTAGTATAGTTCACTATTTATGCATTTTTATTCCACTAAAAGGCCAACTATTAATTTATAAGCTTTGTTAAAATAAATATTAAATATGATACCAAGAGTTGTTAATGTTAACTGTCTACAAGTTTCATCTATTAAGCTAACATAATTAAAATAGAAACATACTCTGTGCCTTAGAAGGATGGTTATACAAGCATTGATATTCTTGTATGGATTTTTTTCTAACTCGTTTCTCTTTCTGTTTCCCTTCTTCCATGCTGACTTTGATGTAGCAGACCACTTGGGGATTGAATTCATGGGTAAGACAAAACAATTTATTCCTTCAGTTTTCCAAGATCACTTTGAGACTGTACATATTGTTTTCCTTCTCTATCTCATTATAATAAAAAATGTCCCATTAAGTCCTACTAGCTGTCAAAGAATCTTTTAGTCCATTTCACACAAGATAACAGCACAAAGTAAAAGCCTCAATTACATATCAAGTAGGGAGTGTGATGATCAGCATATCTGAAATTCTGAAAAAATAGGATGGGCCTCTGGAACAATATTTCCTAATGGAACACATACATGGCAGACAACACTTCAAAAATCTGGATTGTTATTTTCTACTAAAATCCCTTTTCCTATTACAACCTGGCTGTGTTGGTATGCTTTAGTATCAATACTAATTTTTATTACAACCATGAACCCATTGCCATTCACAAAATTAAAGTAATTCATCTTAAAATATTGTCAACTGATTCTTAAATATGTTAATTAGACACATTCTTGAAAGTATTAGAATGTCTTCACAGAACTTCTGTATTCATCGACAATTGTATTAAAAATTGGAGATAATTTTGAGTTTATTACAAGTTAAATAATATGTTTGCTATGAAGTTCAATATGGGAAGATACTTGGTAGCAAAGAGTTAGAGAAACTGAGAAAATCCACATTGAGTTTGGATTCTTGAAATTCTGCCCATTTGAACTTACACTCCATTTTTTTCCATTATTTAAAGTAGATATGAATACTTGCTTAATATGTGTTTGATGGTTGTGAGAATTTAGAGAAATTCACTTGCACTCATTCGTCCACTTGCCCATTCATTCAAACCATCCTTATCCAGTCTCAGTCAAAAAAAAATAAATAAATAAGGTAAATCATTAGAGATAAGCTAGGCAAAGCATCTTAATTCTACTCAGACAAGATGGTATAGGCTTGGATTTGTGAGATGTAAGAAGTGTGTGAAAAAGCTAGTAAGTGTTTAGAATGGAATATCAACATGTGTTTGAAATGATGTAATGAGGAAAGCTACTGTAGGAGACTCTGAAGGATGGCTGCAAATTTCACTGTCTGTGTTCTTAGGAGGTAGGCTGTTATTGAAAGCATACTGACAGTGGAGAATATTGATGCTCATGAGATTAGATATAGAAATGTGAGTTTTGGATACTCTGTTTGAGAGAAGATGCCAAGTTGGCTGTATTGCTGGAAATACGGGACTTATGGATCAGTGGCCCCATTTTTATATCAGAATTTCTCTTTCCTGTTTCATGACCTTGCTCATTAGTGCTCTGCTATATGGCTATTTCATCATGGAGAAGTCAGACAGCTCAGTTACTGCATGTTTGAGACACTGGTAGGTCTCAAACTGCATTATTGTAACTGTGATAAAACACAAGAAGAAGAAACTCTGGTTGGTTCTCATCTGAGGTTTCAGTTCAATCGTGAAATGTGTGGCTAGTATGAAAGTAAAGTTAAGATGAAATCAAATAATATTCAAAATTGAAGTGCTTCCACAAATTTGTATCATGAGTAAGATAACCTCTTGTGTATTGATAGATAATTTGAAGAAGCTAGGAGAAAGGAAAAATTTCAAAACCTGCTTATGAGGGTAGGAAAACAGAGTAACAAACAAATCCAACTGGAGATCAAGAGTTGAGAGGATATGGTTTTGGATTCACTGTATAAGTAGATATTACCATTGTTCAAGGTGAATCTAGAGGTTTAGAATTGAGATAAAAAATGTTTATTATATTCAAAATTCTCTAGTCAATGGGAAAGAGTGTATTATTTATAGCTAAAAAAAAGTTGAATATAAAAATAATTCCTCAGTGTCAATAAAAAGAAGCAGCATATTGCCAGGTTTTAATTTTCTTGCCCAGAACAAGTAGCTCTGGTCAAAAAATGACTACTTTTCACCCTTGTAGTGGTTAGGTGACCCAGGCTGGTTCTTTCCTGTGGCTTCAATATCTCCTCGGTTTACCTCATCATCTGCCTCTACCATGTGGATACAGAGTATATGCTTATTTTTTATTTAAGAGACTATCTGAGATGGCTCATATCACTATTATTTTAATAGTTTTTTTCCTATAACTAATCAAATAACTCCACTATTCATCAACTGTGACTAGGAAATACAATCCTAGTCTCTGTAAACATCAAACAAACAAACAAACACATAGTTTGAGTAATTTATACCATAATAGACAGCCTGAAATGTGAAAAGAGTCAACATTTTTGTTAGACACAAGAAATTGAGTTCTTTAGGAGCCAGGAGTACAACTCCACAATGCTATATGTATAAACAAAACTAGCATATTGTTTTTAAATGGGAAAAGAAATTTCAACTGTTCATGTAAGATTTGTATTTTAGTTACAGTTGGAGAAAATGGAGTCAAAGAGTCTGTGGATGGCAAAGGCTGCTGATTTGATTGAGAAATTTTAGAGTGAGAGATCAACACTCAGCCATGGGCCACAAAGCTACAGAAAACAATGACCATGGCCTGTGTGATGGTGAATATGCTAGTGCAAAGAGTAAGCAGTTAGCACTCCTCATTCACTAATGGCAGCAGGGTATAGATAGAATTGCATGGGTTTTATGATCCTCAAAGTCATATTGAAAAAAATGAGTACTAGGCCTGATGGCTAAAGAAATTTGCTTCACTGGCCTCTGGTGATTGCAGGGTCTGAGGATAGATATTCTACGGCTGTTAACAGAACGCCCACGGACATAGGAATCTCTACTCAGCTGGTGGTAGGGCTAGAGCCTTTTAGATCCCGCAAGCAAAGTGGCAAGATAGCGAACAAAATTGCTATACGAAGTACTAATCATCCTTGTTGATAGAAATAGACCAGTTTCCACCATATCAGGAGACTTGTAGCATTGCCGACATGTATATAGCACAGAGGAACTAAAATGGGGATTGAAAGGTCTACGAACTCATTAGAAGTGCCTTTGATAAAAGTAAAATAATAGGTTAGGGTGTAGTTCATCTATATGACACTCAAGCCTAAGGGCATAGCAAGTCTTATAAAAGTCAAATCATAGGGCTAAATAAAGTCTTATAGAAAATGAGTTTTCAGTGGGTGACTATTTGATTCCTGAAATATGTATTGCCTTGGAGGGAAGGTATTGATCAGTAATCTGGAGCTGCAAGGAATGTCTTATATGCAGATAGATTAGGAAAACTGACAACTCTAGATGCTAGTTCAGAGCCAGGAGGGGTTTAGAGAATTAGTGAATATACTGTTTCAATTGCTTTACATGTCCACTTACATACTTGGCTGAATCTAAATATGTAAAATAATGTTTGTGACCTTAAAAATAAATACCTTGGATTTAATCTGTGATTACAGAGTTGATGTGGACAAAATGTTTGCCATGGAGGACGATGCAATAAAATTATTAAATCAAAATGCATATAGAAACCGAAGGTATACCCAATATATGTGTATATTAACTTTTTTATGATCAGTTGGTAGGTGAGCTATATATTTATGCTAGCTATGTTTGCACGTGTGTATGTGCTGTGGAAGAACGGTTTAAATGGAATTTACTTTTACAGAACTCTTACGTTCTCAGCAAAATATGCTAGAACATTCAGAGACAAAGTGTATATCTCTCACATATGCAAGATCTCTCAGTTGTTTCAGTTTCCCACCAGGGAGGTTCTTGTGTTATCTCTGATAGTCCTGCATGTACTTTTCACCCCAAGTCCATGATTTTCAAGAGAGTGCTCTTACATTCTTCTGAATGATGATAGTGCTTCTACAGTGTCTACTGCACATAGACTATTAACATTAGCAAAAAAATGGCTGCCTTAAATCACCCCACATCTGCCTTTCCTTTTCACAACACTTGACAATCATGAATCTTTTTTTTTTTGCCTTTCTCAGAATGTCAAAAAGTTGAAGTATAATATTTCATAGGGCAATAAGCTTCAGTGTCTTTTTTTTAACATTCCGACCAGTTTTCCCTCCCTCCTCTCCTTCCTGACCCCTCTACCCACACCCTCACACTTCCCCTTTTCTTCACCCCAGCATTCACTCTTCCATTTCTTCTCAGAAAAGGCCAAGCCTCTCATGGATATCAACCAGACATAGCACATCAAATTGCATTAAGACTAAGTAACCCAGTAGGACTAAAATGTCCAAAAGCAGTCAAAAAGAGTCAGAGACAGCTCCTGCTCCAACTCTTAGGAGTCCCATAAAATCAAGCTAAGCAATTGGAACACGGACTGAGGGGCTAGGTCAGTCCCATGCATCCATCCTTGTTGTAGCTTTAGTCTCTGTGAGCCCCTATGAGTCCAGGTTAGTTGAGTCTGTGGCTTTTCTTAAGGTGTCCTTGAGGCCTCTGGCTCCTACTATTCTCCCCGCCTTCTGGAGAATTCCCCAAGCTCCTTCTGTTTGGTTGGCTTTACTGTCTTTTTATTGTCATGAGAGCTCAGTAACATTAAACATATGAGATGTGAAGTACACTGCCAAGAGACAGCAATACTATTCTGTCTTTTCAGAATTTTACAGAAAATGTCCTTTTATTGCTGAGGACAATTTTATTTTAATATTCTTGGTAACATTATTATACAGATCTACCACAGTTTTCTTATTTAATAAACCTCACAATATTTACCTGCTTGTGCCCAAGGTTTGACAATTCTCACTATAACTTCATGATACACACACACACACACACACACACGTGTGTGTGTGCATGTTTCATTCCTATTGAATCATATAGTGTATATACATTATTTTATAAGAAATTGTCTTACTGTCTTCTACAATGTCTACTCTGCATTGTATTTCAGTCAGAAATTCAGGAACAGTATTGTTGCTCCACATCCTTGCTAGGACTTAACCCCTGTCCACATTCTAGACTTATGCACTCTAATAGGTTTGCAATGCTTTCATATTCTTTCCACTTTCCTGTTCCTGACATCTAAGGTGGAACATATTTTTCACTATGTTAATTTGCATCTGTAAATCTCCAGTGAGTTGTAGGTCAGTATCTTCTGTAGAGTTTTTCCTGTTTTTCTT